AGGAATATTTGATAGGATTGATGAAACAGAAAGAAGAAGAAAACTAATAATAGAAAAAAGTCAAGAAACAATTAAAGTGGTTGAAATAATTAAGAATCAAATGAATAAAATAATAGAAGAAAGTAATAAAGATGAAGAAATACTAAGTAAAACACGGAATGAAATAATCAATAAAATCATTTCAACTGAAAAAATGATCATGAAAGACAAACTATTCAGAACACCAGAAGAAAAAGATAAAATCACCCAATCCTTTAATAAAAAGAAAAAAGAATGGGAAACATATTATAGTGATTATTTAGAGAGGAAGAAGAAAAAAGAAGAAGATGAAGAAAAAGAAAGAAAAAGAAAAGAAGAAGAAAAGAAGAAAAGAGAGGAAGAAGAGAGATTACAGAGAATGAGAGGAATGTCAACACCAAAATATCAAATCGAACAAATAGAAGAATGGACATCAAGAAAAGTATCTAATATACTATTTGATTCAGATGTTGATAATTGGAATCAGAATACATCAGTATTTGATGAAAGAATAATAAATAAAGAACATATAATAATTATTATTGAAGATGAAGATGGAAATAAATTTGGAGGATATGTTAATGAGGAAATTGATAAAGTTCGTTATTTTAACTGGATAAATGATCCAAAATCATTTTTATTTTCATTAAAATCAAATGGGAGAATAAAAGGAATGATGAAATTTGATATTAAAGAACCACAGTATGCGTTTTATTTATTTAACCAATCAGATGATTATTTGTTTAGATTTGGATATAATGATATTTTTGTTTATAAAGAAAATAATAAAACAAAATCATTTTGTAATCAAGATTGTTTTGAATATAAAGGAATATCAAATGCACTTTGTGGAAAACAAATTCCAGAACGTTTCACACCACAACGAATTATTGTAATTGAAATGAAATGATTTTTATTCATTATTATTTATTTGAAATATAAAAACTAAAAAAGAATATAAAATAAAATCAATAAATGAATATGAACATTTCATCTATCAATAAATGAAATGGTGAATATAAAAATGATCATATTTCATTCTTGTTTTATTTTATTTAAAATATTCATATTCAATGTGTTAATTTAATAAATAATAAAAAGAAATAAGAATAAAAGATAAATAAAAATATAATAAAATATTTATTTTATTCTTTTTTATTTATTTTTTATTTTATTTTATATTTATTTATTTTATTCTTATTCTTTTATCTTTATATCTATTATATATTTCTTATTTTATTATTTATGTTATATTCTTATATCATTTTATTCTTATTTTATATTTATTCATTATTATTCATTTCATATTAACAATGATAAATATCAATACAACATATAATAAATAAATGATATAAGATAAACAACAATAAATAATAATAATAAAATATAAACAAACAATATAAACAAATATAAAATAATAAAATAACATCTAATATAAAATAATAACAACAAAGAAAAAAAAGAAGAAATGAATGATGTTTAGAAAAGAAAAAATTGACAAAAATAAGAAATAAATGATGATATTCAAAGATAAAAATCAATATAAAATAAAATATAATAAATAATAAGAATAAGAATGATTATATCTTATTTTATTATTATAATATTCTTTATATTCTCTTATTTTATTATTTTATATTTATTATAATTAATTTTTAATTCAATTTCATTTATAAATAATTTATTTATATTAAATATTAAAATTATTTATATTTAATGAATGAAGAATTATTATTAATTATTCTTCATTTTATTCTCTTATTTTATTCTTTATTTCTTTGATATGACTCGAATTTGGTATTTCAGAGACACCACATACAATTGTAATATATCCACCATTACTTCTATCATGATATGTCTTTTGTGTGATAACATCTCATTCAAGATAATTGGTTATTATTTATTCATATTTATTATGACGATCAGTATATTATATTATTATTATGACATACATTAGTCGTTTATTATGGTGGTGGTATTATTCTTTGTCATGGCACAAGTTTTTTATTGATGATAGTTTGTGTTGAGTGTATAAAGTGTCATCAAGAAAAATGGATTGTTTAAGGGGGTGTCAGTGATAAAGGAGATGAACCAGTTAATTTGAGCATTTAAAAAAAATTGATTTCAATAAAAATAAAACATGTTGAAGAAACTGATTTACTCACTTCTCATATGATAAAATAATAATTATTAAGTAAGTCATGTTTATTTCTTTCTTCTTGTGTTTTTATTATTCTTGTATTTTACATTATTTTTCATTCATTTCATTGTTTTTGGTTATTATATTTATTGTTTCATTCTTTTATTATCTTTTCGTTTTGTTTTTTAATTTAATTAACAATTAACTTTCTCCATTTTCATTTTATTTTTGATTGAATATATTTCTTGTTCTGTGCTTTCAATTTTCTTTTCTATTTCTTCATATTCTCTTTTCAATTTATTTATTATTATCTTATTTCACTTTAATTTCATTCTCTATTATTGTTCTATACTCTTATTAGTATATCTTGTTATCATTCTATTTATTCATGTTTCTTATTCATTTTTCATTTCCTCTTTCTTTTTATTCACTTTTTCGTTGTAATCTTTTACCATTCTTATTACACATTTTATAACTATTAAGATTCATTCTCTTTTTACTTTCTTGAACATTTGTTTCTTGTTTATTTTTCTTTAAAATACTCAAAAATTATTCAATAATATTGATAATATGATTGTATTGAAAAATATTCTTTTCTTTAGACCTTTTAATAAACAATGTATGCTGTTGGTTTATATTCTATATAAAAAGAATTTTTTTGGGAACTTTTATAAAAGAGTAAATGTTGTGGTATGTTATATAATTCCTGATAATTCATTCTGTTTAAATCAATTTAGTATGTTATAATAACTCAGTTTTAATAAAACAACTTTTCTAAAAATTTTAATAAAGATAAATTCGCTAATATTTATGAGTTATTATTTTGTAAAGAATATTTTATAACCAAATTTATTCTAATTAAACTCCTGTTGAATTAAAAAATCATGACCAACTTGAGAATAGATATAGTTCTATAAAAATTTTCATTAAACTGGTAGAAGTTTTACTAGATATTTTAAATTAACTTGAATGAACAATCCTTTAAATTATTCTATTATGTTACTATTATTCTATTTAATTTTTCTTCATGTATTAGAACTATTAATATAAAACTTCATCAAAGAAATTATATTCAATTAAAAATTTTTCATAAAATAATGTTTTGGATCATAACTCAAAGTAAATTAAAGAAACTAAATATTAAAAAAAAGAAATAGTTGATTGTTAGGAATAATTTATTGAAAGATAAACAAAATAAAACCTTAAAAAAGAATAAACCAATAAAGGAATAATTTAGTTTATAATTAATTATGGAGTTAAAAGAAAAAGGAATTTCGTAAAGAATTATTCTATAAATATTTGATTAATACAAAGATTCACTAATAGAATATTAATATCTTAATAATAATTTAACTAAAATAAAAACGGGAAATTCTATTTTTAATTTTATTTTAATTTTTCCCGTTTTTGATAGAATATTTAAACTGGAATCTAACAAAATCTTTTCATTAATCAGAAATGTCTATTAAACCAATAAAACTTGTAATAGTAGGAGATGGAACTGTTGGAAAGACTTGTATGCTTATTTCATACACAACTAATGCATTTCCAAATGAATATATTCCAACAGTATTTGAGAATTATAATGCTACTGTTGTTGTTGATGATAATAAAATTAATCTTGGAATATGGGACACAGCAGGACAAGAGGAATATGATAGATTAAGACCATTATCATATCCTTCAACTGATGTTTTCTTAATATGTTATTCAATTATGTCAAAAGCTTCTTATGAAAATGTAGAAGGAAAATGGGTAAAAGAGATTAGAACACATTGTCCTGATACTCCATTTTTATTAATTGGAACAAAATCAGATATTAGAGATGATTATGAACAACAACAAATTATTAAAAACAAGGGATTTGAACTTGTCTCTCCTAATGAAGGACAAGAAATGGCTCAAAAAATGGGTGCCATAAAATTTATGGAATGTTCAGCCTTAACTCAATCGAACTTAGTAAATGTTTTTAAAGAAGCAATTCGTGCAGGAGTTAACTATAAAGATTCCCTCTTTTCAAAGCCATCAAAAAAGCTAACTAATAAACATCGATGTAGTCTTCTCTAATTAATATAATACATTGTTTTTGTTAATATTTATTTTTTTTTTAAAAAGAAAAACTCAATTTAATAAACACTTAGACAATATGATTTAATAACTCTCTTCCGAGAAACCAGAGAATTTCATTTGTTATTATTTCGTGTGATGGTGTTTCTATAGAATATATATCATATACAACTATTCCTTCAAGTGAAAATTTTGGAAATACCTCACATTTGAAATTAAAAGAATCTAACAAATCAATAAGACCAATAACAATATATATTCTTCTCATAAAATATATTTTTGAAGTATTAGAAAATGAACCAAAATTTTTTTTAATATATTTTAATCCATTGAGATATAATAAGTCTTCGTTATATATTCTATCTTTAATTACAATATAATCAATTTCATACTTCTCATTAATTAATTTAAATTTAATTCTTCCATTAGTATATAATAATAACAAAAAGACTAATCCATTTATTGTAAATTTATTTAAAGTTTCATTTAAATCCATACTTTAATCATATAAATAAGAAAGATGAGATTAAATATTTCAAAATATTAGATCATTCATTCTTGAGTCTTTTTGAAAAATTTCTTAATAAGAATATCAAAATTAACTAATTCATTATTGGATAAATAGAACTAATCTTTTTTTGTAATATATCAATACAACATTCGCTCTGAATAATTTGAACAGATCCAAATGATTTATCAGTCAATTCTCCTTTTGTTTTAATTACTGAATGATAACATTGAAATGTATTGATGTAATTAATTTTTAATTTTAAAGAATCACAATGAACTATTCTTAATAATTTTAATTGAATTTCAGATAAGTCAATAATAGAAGAATGATTATTAACTTTATACATTAATATTTGTTTAATACTACTAGGAAGTATAATTCTTTCACAAACAATATGATCTAGTCTTAATGTTTGAAGTTCAGATAATTTATTTATTTGTAAATTATCATTTGAATTAAAGTTATAAATTTCTAATATACGTAGAGAAGATAAATCAGAGAGTTTATTCCAATTAATGTCTTGACAATCATTGAGAATAAGACAAGATATATTAAGATTATCTAAAGAAGTTGGTAAATAATCAATTTCTAATATTTTTAAGTTTGGAAGATAAAGAAAAGATGAAATAATTGAATGTTCCATTTTTAAATAATACAATAATGAATCTTTAAGATTAATTTTACTATTTTGTATCAAAACATTTTTCGAGTTTGATGTTATTGTTTGAAATCGTTTACTTTCATTTCCATTTTTTGTCTTTTTACAAACATTAATAAATTTTTCTTCAATAACTTGGTTAATACATGTTTTATTTAATTCACTTTTACACCAACTAAATTGGCTTGAAAAAATAAATTTTAATGGATTATTAATGATTATATTATTAATATTCCATTCAGGTTTAAACTCAATTTGTTGCTTCTTTTGAGCAAATAAAAATGGGTTAAATGGTAAATATTGATTAAATACATCTTTAAATGAAGAAATACTACAATCCCAGAAAGTCCACTTATTTTCATACGGAAGAATAATACAATCATTTCCATTCCAATAATCACAACATATTTCAAATGTTCTTGTATTATTTCTTTCTTTATTTATATAAAAATTTCTTTTATATTGAACTAATTTACATAATATTTCATTTGTTGAAATACTTCCACCCATAACTTGAATAATACAATGCTCAAATTTATTATATTTTGATAATAATAATGAAATGAATGTCATATCAAGTGATTCTATTGAACTTTTTATTCTTAATAATTCAAGTTTCTGGTTTTCATCTCTAAAACATCTTTTCCATGGCTCTGTTATCTCCATTTCTATTCTACACTTTTTTAAAAAATGAAATTGTGAGATATCAATTGGAACTTCTTTAACAGTTACATTTAATTCTATTACTCTTGAATAAATCCAATTATTTCTACTAAAATCGGTGTCTAATGATTCAACTATTCGTATTTGATCAAACCTTCTTAATTCATTTGAACAATGTTGAATAAAATCAGATAATATATTAGCAGTTTGTAAGTTAGGATATATTTTCAATTCTTTCCAAAAAGAATCAACCGCTTTAAATTGATAAAAAACATCTCTACTCTCTTTTGTAGGTAGAATTAATGGATTTGTTTTAATAAAGAATACTGCTTCATAACACTTTTTATTTACAAACATTAAGTCTATAACAGTAGTAGTTGTGTAAACATAACGAATAACTATAGATAAATAAAAATTTTCTAGTTTTAAATGCATTGTTATGTTATTGGAGAGTCCAAGTTAAAATAAAATTTTAAGATTCAGATAAATCTTATTATCACAACTTTCTTATCTGACAATTTAAAAGGAAAAGAAATAAACATATATTGTAAAAATGACATTAACAAGAGAATTAACTCAACGTAAGTAATGAAGAGGTACGAAAAAATTAGTTTTAACCCTAAAATTTTAATTGGATCACTTTTACAAAGTGGTTCAACAACTTCTACTTCACTTGCTTCTTCCTTGCTTAACGGTGATTCAGAGGACATCTTTGGTAAAACAAGAATTGATGAACGGAAGAAACGTGTGGAAGAAATTACTCCTAAAAAACCTCCAAAGAGTCGGATCCATGAAAGTTATACTCAACCAAGGAGAATAAATCCTATTTCTAAGCCAATTGTTGTGGAACCAGTTTTAGTTAAATTGGATAATCATATTCTAGATATCTCTCCTATTCTTAAAAAATCTGAATCAAGCACTTCTAAAGAAGAAACAATATCAGGTACTAGTGAAGGTGAACTAGAGTCAGTCTGGAAATTGGATAAAGAAAGAGGTAATGAAGACAATAAAAAAGAAAAAGAAAGAAATCAAAATAAAGTAAATAGAAAACAAGAAATAAGAAAAACAATAAAAAGGAGAATTGAAAAGTTAAGAAAAGGAAATCGAAGAAGAGTAACTTTATGGAGGGCAGTCCCATATTACTGCTATAGATGGGGAATGACAGAAGAAGAATTGTTAGATGATGTTGAGCATAATAAATATATCTGTTTTACAAAATAATGAGAAAAAACTAGATAACAAAATAATCAATTCTATCTTTTTAAATATTTTTTTTATTTTTGTTAATATGAATGTTTATCTAATAAACTGGAATCACAACATTTTAAAAAAAACTGAAAGGGGATGAGACATATAATTAAAGAGGATATTTGTTCAATAAGTAAATTATTCTTTTAATAAAAAATTATAAAAAAGGTTAAATAATACTCATTATTTTGATCTAAAAAATAAAAAATACAAATATCATTCAATTTATTTTTAGAGAGTGAATCACTGATAAAATATTTTTTTGAGAATATTATGTTTGTCCTCTTTAAGGTATTAAAAATGAGGTAACCGTTATTTTTATGAATAAAAAGTGATATAATTATTAGCTAATAAGAACTTATTGAAAATAGAAAGAATATAACAACTGAAATATAATATAACTATTTTAGACTGACTAAGAGCCTAATAATACAAAATAGAAAAAGTAACTTTGTTTATATATTGTCTTAAAATCATTAAGAAAAAAAAATTGATAAATTTTATTTAAAAAACATCAAGCCAAAACCTTAGTTTTAATAGAATGAGTAAAATTATTCAATGAACTTAAAAAAGTTTTTATCGAAACATTAAACGAACTTCTATTAAAACAGTATAAACTAATCAAAGAATTAATTTCATAGTATTAGAACTTATATAGATTAAAGCCAAAAATATTAAAAAATCACTCTTTTCTTACTAGAAATTGACTTAGTATTAATTCATACTTCAATACTAACAGTTTATTATTAATTAGAAATATTTTCTCAACAAGTTCTGTAGTAATTTTATAATAACATATATCAAATCAACGAATTAAAAATCGGCATGGTTCTAAGATATCAATAAACACACTAAAGTTATTAATAAAATCCAATTAAAGTATGCGATTTAATGAAATCGTATTGGACTAAATGAAGAACTACCTAAATAGAGTTGTCTCAAAAAACCCCTTATTTGTTGAACCATTTAATCCTATAGCTTTAGTATTACTTGTGAAGGGTTTTAATCCTTCAAAAAGAACTTAATCGATTTCGGTCTATAACAAGATTGCTTAAAAAGTATCCATAAAGAAAGAAGAATTAGGTAAATGAAATTTTTAATACAACAATTACTTAAGTACTAAACGGAATTGATTAGGAATAACATAAAAATAAAATGACAGAAAGCACTATGAGAGAACACTAATTATAACCATAAATAGTATCAAGAATCAAAACATCTAGAATTAGTACTCTTTCAAACTTAAGTGATTATACGTTTTCAACAATCTATTAACCCTTTTTACTCAAAATACTATTCTAATTTTAGATTTTTAATAAAAAAGTATTTTTAGATAATTCCTTTTTTTTTTTTAAGAAAATAAAGACCTTTATCTTCAAATGAAAAACCTCCAAGGTTATTAAAAATCAATAAAACTTCTATTTTCTCTTAGTAAATAGACAGTTTCTTCTTTTAGGTAAAACCAATTTAAGGATGCAGTCCAACTTTATTTGATTGCTAAACTTGGTGCTAGAAAATTCATTGCTTCATGGTAAAAAGTATAGCGAAAAAGGTTGGGATGAAGAAAGGGCTTTAGAAAAACGTAGACAAACGTGGAAGGGGTATTTAAAGTAAGACCTAGAAGTATCTATACAATAAAGGAAAGATGAGTATTTCATTTAAGATTCATTATGTCACTGTTCCTGATCAAGTGTTATTCGTTGTATTTGATGATGGAAAAGAAGTTCCATTAACATGGACCGAAGGTCATTATTGGGTTGGAAATTATAATTACGAAGCTCCAAAACATTACACATGGCATTACGTTGTGAGAAGTTATGATTCTGGAAAGAATCTCAGAGAAGAAGAAATCATTGGAACTCGTGAACATGACTTTGTTAGTAAAGCACAAGTTCATGATTGGTGGTTTTACCCATGGTTAACTGAAATTGTTGAAGACCCATCTGAAAAAGAACTTAAAGAGACTGAAGAAAGATTAAAGAGAGAAGCTGAGGAAGCTGAAAGAAAAAGAAAAGAAGAAGAAGAAGAAAGATTAAGAAAGGAAGAAGAGGAGAGATTAAGAAAGGAGGAAGAAGAGGAGAGATTAAGAAAGGAGGAAGAAGAGGAGAGATTAAGAAAGGAGGAAGAAGAAAGACAGAAAAAAGAAGAGGAAGAGAGACTAAGAAAGGAGGAAGAAGAAAGGTTAAGAAAGGAGGAAGAAGAAAGGTTAAGAAAGGAGGAAGAAGAAAGATTAAAGAGAGAAGCTGAAGAGGCTGAAAGAAAACGAAAAGAAGAAGAAGAAAGATTAAGAAAAGAAGAAGAAGAAAGATTAAGAAAAGAAGAAGAAGAAAGATTAAGAAAAGAAGAAGAAGAAAGATTAAGAAAAGAAGAAGAGGAAAGAAAGAAAAAAGAAGAAGAAGAAAGACTTGCTGCTGAAGAGGCTGAAAGAAAGAGAAAAGAACTTGAGGCTGCTAAAACTCCATCACCAACCCCAGAAGAAGAAAAAAAGAAAGAAAAAGAGTTAAAGATTAGGTTGTGTGGTTCAGAAACCAATTGGGATCTTTTCAAAATGTGGACTGGTAAAGCATGTTGCCATGTATTATATGATTCTACTGTTGATGAATTTACTGCAGAGGCATTCAATGAATGTGTTGGAGGAAATAATAGTGTTATTGTGTTTATTCATTCACAAGGATATATTTTTGGCTCTTATACTTCAGTAAAAATTCCAGAAGCTGGAGAAAATGGAGCTGAAGTTAAAAATGATTCAAAGAGCTTTGCTTTTTCTTTCTCAAATCCATACGGTCATGGAGCAATTAGATATATTTGTGATGAACCAGAGACTACACTCAAATTATTCCCAAATAATGATTCAGAAAATGTTGTTGAAGTACACAACTTCTTCACTGTTAAACAAGAGAAAGATAAATGTTATATTAGTAAGAATTTTGAAAAGTCTTATAATGAAACTTCTGGAAGAGGTGCTTTAATGTTTGTTAGAGCTGTTGAACCAGATACTTTCCCAATTGATGAACTTATTGCTGTTAAATTGACTTTCAACAAGAACAGATAATTAAATAATGTTATGAATATTCTCTTTTATATTTGATGTTTATTTTTAATTAATTATAAAGTGAAAAAGAAAATTTAAAAACATATTATATATTCGTTTAATCTATTTAAAAATGAATCCTTTATTGTTTAAATATAACACAAGCTTGAATAATTAGATATTCATATTAATTCCTTTTATTATAAATGAAAAAGTGAAATAGAAAAATAATAAAGAAAAAAGTAAAAAAAGATCAAGTATGAAGATTTGAATGTTTCTTCCTTTGAAGAATATCTTTAATCATCCATTTAATAAGTGTTTTATCTCTTTCTGTGTTTTCTTGTTTCCTTTTCTTTGCTTTCTTTTTTTCTTCTTTAGTGTGTTGATAACTTTGATTAATTTCTGCTCGAATTTGTTCAATTGGAATTGGATCAATTGCATCACTTTCACTATTAACTCTTAAACAATATTCTTTATGATATTTAATTAATTCTGCTTTTGTTCCTTTAACTTCTAATCCAAATTCTTTAATTTCTGCTCGTATTTTTTTTTCTTTCATAAAATTATATTGTCTGCTTCCTATTCTCTCTATTTTCTTTTCTTCTCCTCTTCTTTTCTTCGTGATTTTCTCTTGAATTTCAATATTCGCTTCAATTTCTTGTTGTTTCGTTCGTCTTTTACAAATTGGACACATTTCTTTCACACTCAACCATCGTCGAATACACTCACTACAAACTATTCTATTTATTCTTTTCTTCTTCTTATTTATATCAACAAACACGTGTGGTGGCACGGAAGATCAACTGCCCCATGCATATCTCTATCTATCTGATGAATCTTAATTATCACTATCATCTTCTTTCATTTTCACTTCTCTTCTAATTAACAAACGACAAATGAAACACTCCATTTTCCTTTTTCTTTTCTCTTTTTCTAGTTTTTACTCTCTTTCTCCTTTTTTCTCTTTTTTCTCTTCTTCTTTATTCTTTAGTTGAAATAGAAAAAACGAAGTATTACAGGAAACAACACAAAAATTATAAAATAATCAATAACAAAAGAAGGAGAAATCCATATCATCAAAGAAATATAAATGATAAAAGAATGAGTGAAAACACGTATTATCTGTATGGACAGAAATACATTAATCATCACATTAATCATTACCATATTAATAACTATCACCATAAAAATTATCATAACAATTATAATAATAATGGTATGATTCATTTCATTCATCACTTCAGTCATTTTCATCATCATAAGTATTTTATCAATAATTCAAATACAAACAATCAGTATTATAATACAAATAAATCATATAATAAAACACAACATAGATATAAACAATAACATAATAAAAGACAACAACAAATAAGAAATAAAAGAAAAGAAATGATAGAAATACAAAACCAAGAATATTTGAAAAGACTAATTGAAGAAGAAACCAAAATACTTACACTACAAGAAATAGAATAAATTAAGAACACTAAGATTAAACAATATAATCAACAATAATGAGAAAATGGTATTTACTTGTAAGAGAAAAAACAAAAATGATTAGAATGGAGAAATTATCAGTATGACACTTGAAGAAGATGATAAACAACTAAATCAAAAAGAAATAAATGATAAATACTTAAATAAGAAATATAGAATGTTGAAAATGATGATAAAAATGAATTTACTGAAGAGAAGAAGATGTTTAATGAAAAAGAAAATATGAAATTAAAAGAAGAAGAAAAGAACAATGAAAAAGATAAAAGAATAGAAGAATTAAAGAATAGAAGAGGCTATTAAAGAGAAAGAAGAAAAGAAGAAATACAAAAGAATGACCAGACCATTAATAAATTATCAAATGACATTATGTCATTAAAGAAGAAGCATGAGAAGGAGATAAACACTAAAAAACAAGAAATTGATAGAAAATTATTTGAATTCAATGCTGAATCAGAAAGGAAAATGTCTGGAGTAAACAATTTATCACAACAAGTATATTTCATGAAAGATAAATTATCTATTACAAAATAAAATTACACAAGAAGAAAAGAAGAAAGATGAGATAAATCACACTATATCAGACTCATCTGAAACACAAATTGTGAATGACCTCACCCCCAATGTGGTAGTAGCTGATGAAATATCATCAAGCGAAGATGATCTTCCAAAAAAAAAGAAAGTTAACGCAGAATTCAATCGAAGAGATGGGAATTCAGCATAAGAAGATCACATCATCTGATCATGACATTCAAAAAATAATTGAATCAAACAAATAGAGAAGAATAAATTCTAACATTCTATAAATGTTATACACTAAAATTATTAGAAATAAAATTAAGAAATCAACTTAAAGAAGAAGAAATAAAAAGATTAATACATGAAATTGATATTAAAATAGAAGATATTAATGAATATAAAGAAATAATAAAGAAAACATTTAAAATAAAGAATGAAATTAAAAGGGAAGTCAATAGAAGAATGGAAGAAGAATTAATAACACACAAATTGAAAGATATTGAATTAAAAGAATTAATAAAATAAATAAGAAAGAAGAAATACAAGAAGAGGAGGTAATAAGAATATTTAAAGAAGAAGATATGAAAGAACAAGAAGATGTACAATTTATTAATTATTATTACAATAAAAACAAAATACATCAAATAATTAATATCATTAATACAAATGAAATAGTAATCAATACATTAGATGATTACTACCATTATATTAAAACTATAACATCAACTATTAACATAATTATTAATAACAATCAAGAAAGAAGTTGAAAGAGAAGTATAGAAAGAATACTACAATCAAAAAATGTAGATTAAGAGACTTGCTCCATAATAACCAATATATGAAATTAAAAAGAATATTACATATTAAAAAATATGATATATATCATATCAAAGTAAAAACAAATGAGCAAATAAACTATTACAAATACGTCAAAAGAATGAAAAGAATAAAAATAGAAGTAAGAATAATTGGAAAAGAATTAGATGGAATTATAAAATGATGAAATATTGAAAGAGACAACTTCTAAATAAGCCTAAAGAAGATGAATATCCAGATAATATTACTACAATTAATTTCTGGAAAGTAATCTATGAAAATAACACTAATATAGATTTCATAAATATTAATTTATATGACATATTAATTGAAAATATAATTAATAATAGAAGCGTGTAATCATTCTAAATGAATTAAATCATGCAATAAAATTCATTGATAATTTGAATTCACATGGAATTGATAAAATATAATGCTTCTGGATTAAATATTTAGAACAACCAAAGAATTTCTTATTAAAATTATTTAATAAATGGTTGTATAATCATACTAACATCCCTCTTCATTTCATCAAATGAAGAACATTATTAATATATAAGAAATGAGATAAATTATATAAACTAAATTACAGATCAATAACTTGTTTAAACTGTCTGTTAAAAGTATATACATCTTTATTAAAGATGAAAATAGAAAACCAATTGATGTTAAACCAAATTGAAAAACAATTATCACAAAATCAAATTGGATGTAAAAAATATACATATTATCAAAAGAATGATTATTATACAATATTATAATCCAACAGTTATTATTTAAGGCTAAATGGAAATGGGTAGAAACATATTATGATGTTTCTAAAACATATGATAGTATTAATCATCAATGGGTTAAACAATGTTTAATTTATTTTAATATCTCATTAGTTGTAATTAAAAGTATATTATATATATTAAATATTACACAACTCTAATTATATTATATTCAACAAAATGTTGGTATAATTAATGTAGAAAGAGGAATAATACAAGGTGATAGTTTATCTAAATTATTGTTTGTATTATCTATTGATATATTATCTAAACAATTAGATAAATAAATTAATAAGTTATCTATTAAAATGAATGAAGAAGAAAAACAAGTAAAGTTAAACCACATATTATATATGGACGATTTAAATATAATAACTAACAACATCAATGAAATGGAAAAAGCAAACAAATTAACAAATGAAATATTTAATGCATAGGACTAAAAATAAATGTAGAAAAGAGTGGGATAATGAATAATATCAATGGTCAGATAAATGGAGAATTAGCTGAATTACCAAGAGTAACTAATGATAACCCTTATAAATATATTGGTATTGAAATAAGAGATAAAATAAATATTAATAAATATTGTACAAGATTATTAAATGATGTATCTTCTATTCTATCATCATTAAATATTATGAAATATAGCAGCATCAATACAATTAGAAAGATTAATAATGATATAATCTCCAAATTAAGATATGGATTCTGTATTGTCCCATGGAAACTTGGTGAGTTGGAGAATATAGATAAACAAATAATAAAGGCATTGATACAACTCCAACTATACAATACAAACATCAATAAAATTAGATTATATGTTACAATAAATGAATTGTGAATGTGATTAATGTCAGCACGAGATGAATGTTGTAAAGAAATATTAAGAATATATTTAAAATATAAATATCAAATACAGAAATAAAAGAAATGATAGAAACAGTAAAAGAGAATCCAAATGGAATAATTAAAAGAATGAAGAGGGCATTTGGTAAGAAAATTAATTTCAATGAATTAATGAATATAATACAAATAAATGAAATAAAACATGATATAAACAATGTATTTGAATTTGTAACAAATAAAATAAATGAAAGATATTTAAATGAATTGAAAGAAATGAAGTGAATATATAAGAAATGTAAATTGTATATTTAATAATAAGAAATTATCAGTAACTACATGGATGTCATTAAATATAAAAAGAAATGCATTCATCAAAGTAGTAAAGATACAAGAAGGAGTAACTATGATAGGAAATATTAAATTTAAAATACTTAATTGTGATGCTTTAATTTATTGTAAACATTATCCTATCACAATTCCATCTATTAGCCATATTTTGTTAGGATGTCCTGTAATGAAGAAGAATCAAATATTAAAACATGATTATGTATGTAAACAAATATATAAACATATATTATTTACATATTTTAATGAATTTGATGAAATAGATTTTAATACACATCATAAGTGTATTAATAATAATGAAATAGTTATAAATTACAATAATGATTTATTGCTTAATGACTATTCGTTTAATGTTAGAATATCAGATATATATTATCAAATCATCAAAGATAAAAAAGGATATATTAATGAAGTTGATATATGTCAAGATAGAAACATCGAATTAAATTATATTTACAAAATAAATAAATACAAATAATTACAAGAGAAGTTAATACAAAGTAGAGAATTAACTTATGTAGAAATAACACCTGTAATATTATCAATAAATTAATACATAAAGAAACATTAAGATTAAAAACACTAAAATTACAAATTGACTTCAACAAAATACTACAAACAATCATTATTAAAAACATGAAATATTTAATGTTCTACACATTCAACACTGGCAACACATTAGAAGAGGAACCTTCTAATTCTCACGTGATTGAAATGAACTCTATTGTGGAAGTATGGCATATTGAAATCACTGAAATAATCACTTCTCAATAACCATAAAGTCCAAACGTAGATATATCTATTATTAACCTTTTTTGTTCTCTATTCTTTAGTTGAAATAGTGTATTGTAAGAAGCTCTTGAGTGTGAATATTTTCATAAGTACTTAATCAATGAAGTTCCAGACGAATACTTTGTTCAATTAGAATGTTTTTGCAACACTATTTTATCTAACAACATCGACATTTTGTCACTTTTGTTAACCAACTTTTTAGTTCTAAAAAATAGCAATTTGTTGTTCGACAGAATTAACCCCTTTTCAAATCGTTCTTTTTGCTTCTAAATAAAATATTCATCACTTTATAAACCACACTTTCCAATATAAGTTAAAAAAAATAGGAAATTTTAATAGTAAAACCCTAATTTTTTAATCTTTTTCCTCAAAAAATATATTTTTTTTAAGGAAATTTTGAAAATGAAATTGAATTCAATTTTCCATTTTGTTTTGTTAAAATTGAAGAAAAACCTAATTTTAGGGTTATGATATAATAAAAAAATGATATAAAATATAATTAAGAATTAATTGTTTTTTATAGAACAATTTACATTCTGTTGAAATTAATCTCTTCAATAAAGTTTTGAGATTATGTCTCGGGAAATGAAGTATTAAATTATGACAGAAACAGTTTTTCTTCAATAGGACGATGTTGTGTATTAAATTAATTAAAGCATTTAATTAAATGGAAATACAAAAGGTTATTCTTTTAGAACAAATAACTTGTAACAAAAAGAACTAAAAATAACTTTTTCCAAAAATCAAGAAAACCTACGAAAATTTCCTGAATAGATAACACAAAAAAGGGAAAAGAGTCGTTCTGTCTCTAAGTGAAGAACTGGAAATAGAGTAGATTTAAGGGGATTCATTGAACTTAAAATAATCAATTAAAACTAGGTAAGAATGGCTACTATGATCTGTGAACCACCAACACAAATAACTACTTTCCAAATTCAAAAGAAAGGAAAAAAGGATAGAACATGCATTACCCCATTAGAAAAAAGAATTCCTATTTTAAAAGCCTCCAGAGAAACACGGAATTTCCAAACACTTCAACAATCATTATGTGTATGTCTACTTTCTGAATTTTGTGATATTACTATTAAACAACCAGCTAAAAAAAGTATTGTTACTCAACAATATATGAGACTAAAATCTCTCGATTTTGGAAATGGAGAAGTTATTTTTCTTAGTGAGTATTTAAAAAGAAGATGTTTAGAGTTGAAACAAGACGATATTGATCATGATGTTTCTATTAAAACGGCCACAAGAAGATTTCAAAATAATAAAAGAATTGAACTCCTTCATTTACTTATTGACTTATTAATCATTCGTGGAGGATATGAATTTGAAAGTAAATATGCAGAAGGGAAAGCAGGGATTAATAAACAAGAATCTATCAAAAAAGTTATTCGCGATGACAGGATTATTATTGAAGGAGACCGTTTAATTGAAAAGGCAGAAGAAGTTAATATGGTTATTTCAAGACGACTAGCAATGACAAAGAAAGAATTAATTATTAGAAAAGGTGACCCTATCATTCAAACTCTCTTCGAGTAAATGTGTTGTTTATGTCGTTAATGTTGCTTTAAATTGTTTATTTAATTCTTTTCATCATTTTAATTTTTTGACCTTTCATCTTTTTTATCACTCATTTCTTCTTATTACGTCTTTATAAAATAAGTTTATAAAATTAGATTTTTTAAAACAAAAAAGAACTTAAAAAAAGTAAAGATGACTGTTTGTTTCTTTTTAGATTTTTTCTCCTATTAAATTGATATGAGAACAAACAATGGTTTTCAGACAATAAGAAACACCTCAAACTAAAACTGATTACTCAGGAAGAAATTGTTAACTACTTCAACTCAATTTCAAGTTCTAATGAATGGGGAAAATACCTTGAAGATGCTGATGTTCGTGAAAAGGCTGAGGCATTACAAAACGCTATGCTTGCATTTTCTGATATGAACACTGGTGCTGGTAAAATTGAAAATGGTAAAAAGGCATTAAAAATAGTTGTAGTTGGTGATGGTGCTGTTGGTAAAACTTGTCTATTGTTAGCTTTTAGTAAAGGTGAAATCCCAACTGCTTATGTCCCAACAGTTTTTGAAAACTTTTCTCATGTTATGAAATATAAAAACGAAGAGTTTATTCTTCATCTTTGGGATACTGCTGGTCAAGAAGAATATGATAGATTGAGACCATTAAGTTATGCTGATTCAGATGTTGTATTATTATGTTTTGCTGTGAATAATAGAACATCATTTGATAATATTTCAACTAAATGGGAACCAGAAATTAAGCATTATATTGATACTGCAAAAACTGTTTTGGTTGGATTAAAGGTTGATCTTAGAAAAGATGGTTCTGACGATGTTACAAAACAAGAAGGTGATGATTTATGTCAAAAACTTGGATGTGTTGCTTATATAGAAGCATCATCAGTCGCAAAGATTGGTCTGAATGAAGTTTTTGAAAAGTCAGTTGATTGTATCTTCTCAAATAAACCTGTTCCCAAAGTTTCTGCTACAACTCAACCAAAAAGTCAAGAAGTTTGTTTTTTATTTTTCTTTTATTCGTTTGAAATCAAAGAAATTATTTCAACACTTACGCTTAGAGTACCCAACAAAAGAAAAAATCAAAATGCCTTTTACAATAAAACATTTCTGCTAAATGTTAATTGAAGAGTTTATTGTGGATTAGTGTTATTCTTCATTACTAAAACTATATAATAACAAAGAATTAATTTAAATTCTTAAGTGCAAGTAATAAAGCACTACGAGAACTTCTTCCTTTTCCATTTGCCACTGAATCCCCACGCTTAATTGTAGCAATGTACTGTTTTTCATATCCAGAAAAATAAGAAAGGACAGAATACTCATACCTGTTATTTTTAAAATCAACAACACCTTTATTTCCAATAAACTTTGTTAACAATTCTTTTTCATCATCAGTAGATTTCTCTTCCATTATAACATCTGCTCTTTTTCTATAAGGCTATTGATTAATTTTTATTTTAATTTCAAATATTTTGTAAGTAAAAACAAACAACAAATGCATTTACTGATGTAGCAATAATAAGTAATAATGCAATCATGTAATGATGTTAGTTTTTTTTTTAGTTCTTTTTTTATTACTTTCTAAAAATATTAGCCCTTTATTATTATACCCATAATAATTTAATAATAATAAATGTAATCTAATTATTAAAGAATAGTAAGTTACTATTGGGAAGTGATGAACTTTCTTTCCCCAAATGAACGATAGTTGATTCAAAAGGGTCTACACACTCGGCCAGGGTGAATGTAGAATGTTTGATCCCATTTTTTTTTATAAAGAAATTAAATAGTTAACACTAAATCCCTCAAAATTGAGATTTGTTATGAATCACACAATTAAAGAAATAAATAAT